GATTCAACAAAATCCTGCCGTGATTAGAATTTGTTCGCAAGTTAGATACCTGCATACTGCGAGCCGAATAACTGGACACTGGGAAACGATTTAAGGCAGCACTGAGATAGCGGCCTGGTGGTGACACAGTTTGCTGGAAGTTGGCATAATTGATGTTTGGAAAGCAATGGTTTGTAACAAGCCTGTTTTAGTTCCGCTACAGGTGAGGTAGCTTGATCTACTCCGTACCATAAAGTTACTACCAGTAGCACACCATAGCAGAGTATTTGACACCATATACTTAATTCTGCGTGGGATGTGAACAACGCATTGCCTGCTCAAGTGCCTGACACGCCTGGAGCAAACTTACTTGTATGCAGCGACCTAGGTACCTCTAAGTAGGGTCTGGCCTGGTCTGGTACCGTGGGTGCCCAGTCTTGACTAACCGCGGCTCCCATTGGCGACGTCACCGCAAACTGTAATTTTATCCCCACCCCCGCCACAGACCGGTCCTCATCGACGTCTTCGGATAACTACCCAGCTGCTAGTTCCGACAACTCGATATACCATTAAAGGACTCATAAAGCTCCAGTCCTGTTAGACACAATCCTGTGACCTGCAACACAAAGCTCCGACGCCTTCCCTTCGTCCCGCAATCATATAGTGATCTCGCTTTGTTGAACCCTCCATACATACATGGTGGTCGAAGTTGCTTCAGGTGAGATATTATCGCGCCAAACTTCACATATAACAACACCTTGCCCGACACCTTGCCCAACTCTAGACGGCCGTAGAGTTCATCAACCCGGGACTGCCTGTTGTCCATGGATCCTTCTTCTGGCTCCGTCCGAGGAAGGGGGGAAGCTTTAGGAGAATCTGGTTCCCCGAGACAAGCAAGCGTTGACCCGAGCCATGCCGGTGGTTCTAATCACGAAGGTCCGCCACAGAGAACACCGTCACTAAGCAATATAAACAAGTCTGCACACCGGCAAAGTTTTGCAGAGAACCTCCGAAATGTTCCTCCATCTCCCCGCCACCGACACCCTTCTTTCACTCAGGCGGCAGTTCAAGAGCTGTTGAACCATCCACCATCGGGGCAAAGGCATACAAACCCCAAGTTTGCTGGAAAGGAATGGGTCGAAATAACAGTCGGAGAGCTAGTTTCACCGGACGATGTGAAATGGGTTGACATGGACAGTAGTGTGGAAGAGGCTACAATGGTACGCGTCTGTCTTGTTATCCTGACTGAATCGCAGTGCTGCGTCCCAACTAATTGCAATCGCTAACCACCAACATAGGCCTTGTTGAAAAGCAAAACAAATGTAGTCCTTGTGCGAGAATCCAGCTCTTTGCCCGCTGCTGTGGCCACCTTTGACTACTCAGATCTCAACGCTTACCTTCTAGTCGTTGTTGGCCTCTCAAAGCCCGAGGCACACCAAGTTGAGCTGTATAACGATATAATGCTTAACGCTCGGGAGGGGAAGAATATCTCTATGCGACAAATACAACCCCTGTGTAGACAAGAACCACTCGTTGGACTTCCGTCTAATGGCAACCTGGCTCAAGCTATCGAAATACTAGGAAGTGGAATTCATCGCATTCTTATTACCAATTCACTCGGCAATGTCGTAGGAATTATGAGTCAGCTTTTGATGGTTGATTTTTTCTGGAATGAGGGTGTCAATTTTCCTGCCGTTGACCGCTTGTACCCTATCATGCTCCGAGATCTGGGTGTAGGAGCACAACAAGTTATCTCTGTCAAGTCAGTGATGTCCCATTTCCCTTTGTATCCTCCGGAAAATGGAAATTCGAACACCAAAGCTAACCAAACACACAGTTCGGATGCTGCTCTTGCGGAGGCTCTTATCCTCATGAACAACGAAGGATTAACCAGTGTTGCAGTCGTCGACAATGGCCAGAATGTGGTTGGCAACATCTCAACCAAAGATGTCCGCCATCTTACATCTGCATCTAGTGCACCTCTCCTTGACGGATCGTGCATGCATTTCATATCCGTTATTTTGAATGAGCGGGGTGTAGAGAAAGGTCGAGATACGTTTCCCGTTTTCTTCGTGAACACGTATTCTACTCTTGCTCATACCGTCGCCAAACTGGTTGCTACACGTTCACATCGCATGTGGGTGGTGGAATCTGCGTCACCCTCGCCATCAGCTCCAGCTACTCCTTTGATGGGGCCGCATGGCGTGGTCAGCACGCCTCAAGCTCCGATGGCAACGCCTACATCGGCAGTGCCTTCTGGTGCAGTGCCTGCGTCCGCCATGCCTGGTGCACACCTCTCTGGGAAACTGAGTGGAGTGTTGTCTTTGACTGATGTCCTTAATATATTCGCCAAGTACACTGGACTGCATCCTGCCGATCCTTCAGAGCAGCGAGCAAGGCGGCGACGAAGCTCGAGCAGCTCAATTCGCCCTAGCTTGGATTCCTCAAGGCCGAGCCTCGACTTTCGTCACTAGCTGTCTGTTCAGATAATATGATGTATATGCAGGGAGGGACACGCAGGGAAATTGAGAATGCTTACTTGTATTGGTGGCTACGATTCATAAATATCGTGTTGACAATGCTGGGGCGTTTTAAGACGCTGGATGAATTTACCCTGGAGGACAGGGAGGGCTAGTTTTCTCATTGACTTTTCTGTAGCTATCACAGGCCCCGTACCCATGAACCATTTCGTCCCTACGTATTCGTTAAACTACGAGAATTATTGGTTATGCGCGCCGCACATCTCGCGGTATGTGAATGAAGACCAAGGCAAACGATAATTACGGCAACGGTAGCAAAACCACCGAGACATTCTCATCCCGCCGAATCATGTGTAATGAAAATATTGTACAGATTGGGTCTGCTATGTAAAAGGCAAAGGTCAGTGCGTGGGCTACTGATCGCACGAGGAAACCGCGCCGCCGATACCCCAAAACGGATCCGCCTCAAAAGTTGCCGAATTCTTCTGTTTCCACAAGTCATTGAAAGCAGAGAATAGAATGACGTCTTGTGGACGATCAACAAATTCTTCCCTGATGGCATCTAAAGCCACTTTCTGATTATCCAAACCGGGAACTGCGAGTCCATTCGTGCCACCCTGCATTGGCCAACCAGTTTCGGTAACCACGACCTTCTTGTCTGCGGCAATCCTAGATTGAACCTTGGATACGGTGTCTTTCAACCATTCCCCAGATTGCGACGCAGCAATCGTGCCGTCAAAAAAGGCATGTGCATTGATTGCACAGTAGTCCGACTCGTCACACAGCTCGGGATGGGCTAAAACCGCCCTGAAGGTATCTACTATGACCACGGGGCCATCGTAGCCCGCTTCTCGGAGAATCGACCGCGCCTTGCTCATCGACCAAATCAGATCCTGCGGAGATGCCTCGCCGTTGTTGACTCGCTCGTTTCCAACACTGACTGTGTGCACCATATCCCAGTCACCGTCGACCCCAGAAATTATCTTGTTGGCTTCATCTTCAACAGAGGACGGGTTCCATATACCCAAGAAGAGCTTCATGTCATGCTTCTTGGCTGCAGAGTACAGCAGAGGAACTTGGTCACAGTCTGTGCCGTAGACTCGGACAAAGGAATAGTAACCTGCCAGTCTCTGGATATCATCGTTGACATCTTGCTGAGACTTGCAGTTTTGGTCGGACCTGTATGGTGTGTACGAGATGCCAAATGACTCGGAAGGTGAGGACTCGCCTCTGGAGGCTATTGAGTAGGTATAATGTTTTCCTGTGTGATGAATATCAGTACAAGTTGCCCGCAACAACTAAGTTAAATGAGGAAGATTTACCACCAGGTTTCCCAGAAGCAAAGGACAACAAGCCCAAGCTTAGTGTAATTAACGTTGTTAAAGACATAGCTTCGACCTGTCAGTTTAGGAAGACCAAATGGCTCTCAATACCAAGGTAGGGGGCGTATTTGAACAGAAATTTAACTCTGTCTTCCTGCTGAAGGACAATAGAAACGAACGACTTACAGTCAGTCCAAAGACAAGGGCCGGGTTACACTTTTTCGGTTCGGCAAATGATGCTCGCGTGTCAACGACCTGTGATCAATGGCATAGTGCCGATCAACCGCTTTGAGAAACGCCATCGAGTAATAAATGGGAGGGCTTTGTTATTTACGACCGGCCTTGGACTCGGCTGGTTGCCGGGTACATTTTGGATGTCAATCGATCGGACATTTGAAGTTTTGCGCAAAAGCTCCGGCCAGAAAATCTAATTATGTTCCCTGTGTTATATGCAACAACCAATAAACAACGACGGGTTGGGAATGTAGCTTGACCTACTACCTAGGCAGTGAGACATTGGATGCCAGAGGTAGACTACTTCGTCTGGTAGTAGTAGCAATTTGACAGATTTTTAGTGAGACATGCAATACTAGATCCGGCGGAATGCTCAATTGCCAGTACCGCAAGTTTAATTTGTATTCCGTACGTTCAATGTGTATTATGATTCCATTTACGCACCAAATGAGGCAAGTAGATGTATAGAAACAAAAAATATTTGACTGCAACGACACATGTCCAGTCACGATAACAAGGAGGCGAACAATGGGCGAATGCCTAACGATGAAGGCAAAAAAGCTATGTTCTGAAGGGATATTTGGTTAGAAGACAGTATGTTTGGTATTATGTGAATAGCTGTATATCTGCATCTCAAAGAGCGAATTTATGCTACCGCAAGGATGGAAGATTTCGGCTAGACCAGACGGGTCGAACCAATGACACGGAGAATGGAGAAATGAAAATACTTCCTGCATGATCTTTTGCCGCAGTAAAGCTACCCACGGCCCAATGGGTTCGAATGCATTGTCATTCTAGAGAGTAAATAGTAACTAAATATAGCAAGACATAGACAGCTAAGTGGGCTCACATCGTTGAAAGATGGAGATGACTGGGTCTCAATACGGCCAGCCTGATATCATAGTCGAAAATGTCGATGTGCGCTGTATTAAGCTCTTAAGTCTATGATATGGACAAGTACAGCAGTGTTATGCAGCACAAATCTTCATACTAAGAGATGGTCGATATAATCATCCAACTCAATAACTCGGAATCGTCCGCTCCATTGTTCAACCCAGTTTGGTCTGTTCCAATGGGACGATAGGCTGGCCCTCCACGACACCACCTCCACATTCCATCCCATTCTCAGGGCTCTTTCAGCATAGGCAAAGAATCCGTCTGAATACTTTGCTGGCCGTGCATCACCTGTTGCTATCACAAGTGTGCCCTGATCCTTGAAAAACTCCATGACTGATTCTGCGATACGGGTTTGCAGTGTCTCGTCCACCAACTCCTCTACATAACGGCCGCCGTTACGAGAAAAGACGAATTCTTCCGATGAAGACGCCTCTCCAGCTTTGAAATCATGATTTTCTCGTTTTCTCTCTCTAAGATCAACACGATAGCCCAAGTCTCGGAGTTCCTGAACAAACCGAGGCTCTTGGCGATGAGGCAGAACAGAGCAGCCTGCGTTGAGTGTCATAATCTTCCGATCACGAACAAGAATTTCTGTGAGAAACTGTAAATTCAGTTGAGGTAGCGGCACAAAACGAGCATGCTCCTTAATTGAGAATTTGCCCCTTAAAGCACATTGAAAGCTTATGTTGATGTTTGACATATCCAAGAAGATGTGTACTCCATTCCCGGCTATTTGGTCATCTTGAATTGCCAATATAGTATCTGCAGCTCGGAGTGGAACTAGCTTCAATGATAATGATTCATGCTGCTGGTCCGGAGTAGATTTGACGCCCAGGATAGAGGTGACCGGCCCTTCATTGCCGATTTTATACGACAATATCCTCGCGGTGTTGGCTGTTCTATTACATGTCCTGGCAGTTGACAGAATTGGACATCGGAGATCGTTGTACCCCGGAAAAAGAATGCCGGTGTTTTGGCTTTGTTCTCTTCTTCTATTGTGGAAAGTCGCTGACAGAAGCCCAAATTGAGCCCTAGCATTACGCTCGAGGCCGGATGCTAGGCAGCTATCATTTGGCAGCAAACCATCTGTCGCCTGGGCGACACAAACCAAGTGATGAAACGGAGTTCCCTCAGTATCCTGCGGATCATGATGTTCATTGCAGGAGCAAGAACAGGAGGGACGACTCTGAGAGTTCTGTGGCACTATTGTGGCATCACACTTTTCTTTACCATGACATTTCTGAGCGTTGTCGCCGATCGATAAACTCGCAGGTTTTGTTTTAAATCCGACCGCGCTGAGCTGCTGTCTAGTTCTCAAGGTACTATTACCAGGGACGGGATGTCGACCGTGAAGGTGAATCTGCAATCTTTGAAAATCTCCCAGTTTCGCCACTTGGTCCGTAAATGGTTGTTGTGCCAAGTCATTACAATCGATGACTTTATTCACTTTTGCGTCGGTACCTGCCGATGAATAAGAAGCAACCATTCCCGTATGAACTGGCACGGCCAACGGTTGAGTCTCGTACAGCTTTTGGAAGTCGCCTAGCTTTGGTGTCAAGCCTTGTGGCTTGTTCCCATAGTTCTCGCTCTCTTGTTCAGGTGTTTTTGAAGGAACGTGATAGTTATTTTCGATAGGAAGAATGCCTTGCAAGTTGCTCATCACGCTCCTTGGAAACCTGTGTACGGCTTGGATTGTTGGTGTGAAGAAAACAGGCCAATGGAACCCTCTTTTGCAGACGGTCGTAGCCAGTTGAATATTCGAAATTGCAGCAAATATATCTGCCTCAGGCTTATGAGATCAATCTCTTCTGATTGACATAGAGCAGTGAACCACTGGAACCTGTGATAGAGCTGCTATTGTGGAGATGAACTCGTCATGTAGGATTGAATGCATCTCGAAAAGTGAAACATGGACTGGGGCGAGTAAATGCCGTGCCGCAGACGTTCGCTCGAAGTAGACGGTGAATACAGTTTGATTAGTTGTTGGCAGCCTCGAAAATAAGTAGTTAAACTTTAGGCGGTTGGGGGTGTATTTGAAGCCAACGAAGCATGTAGTAATTTGCAGGAGCCGTGTTGTGTCAACAAGACCACGTCTACCAGCTTCTATAGGTGTACAAGTATGGAAATTCAATGCTTAGATACCTGTAAGAGGCGGGCACTTAAGTACCTTAAGTACTTTAGGTAGGTACGTTGTGACAGTGGCCACATCTCGGCTTGACGAAGTTCCCAGGAGCCCATTACAGTCCTGACGTCGTCGAGTTCCTGATCGAAACTAACCAGTAGTTCAGAGACCCGTTTTTGGCTGACATAAGCAGGACACCGGGCGAGGTGGCAACCTCGCATGCTCCCCGTCTGCCCAACCAGAGAGGGCCGTATCAGGCTCTAATGGCCTACTGCCAGACAACTTGGAGTGACAGGTTGAAGGGCTTTCGTCATAATCGCCAACATGGGTCGCTCCACCCTAAAGACACAGAAAGTGGCGTCAGACGTGAAGAACATGTTTAGACCACAGCGTAAATTTACAGGCTCCATCATCGTATAGTATCAAACACTGCTCCTTCAATTTCAATTACAGAGGTATTCTAGTATACTTCAACCACGACGCCAATAATACATCTCACTCCACCCTAATTGTACACTGTTTTTAGGCGGTCTTGGCCATGGTGTTGAGAGCACTTCCATTCTTGAACCATTCAATCTGAGCCTCGTTGAATGTGTGCTGTAGGGGAACCTCGAAAGACTTGCCGTCCTTGGGGTGGACCACCATTGTAATAGGCTCACCAACGGCGAGCTGTGTGCAGAGAATATCAACCTATCCTACAAGTCAGTATGGTGCAACTCATTCATGCAAGGGGTCCCGGAGAGCAAGGAACGAGGGGACATAAATCGTCAACCGCAGACTGGGAAAGGGAAAGATTTGCAAGTACCTTATCATCAGGCTTGATCTTGTCGTAATCAGCTGGGTCAGCAAAAGTAAGAGGAAGCATTCCTTGCTTCTTTAGGTTCGTTTCGTGAATACGAGCAAAGCTTCGGGTAACGATGGCAAGACCACCAAGGTGGCGAGGCTCCAGAGCGGCATGCTCACGAGAGCTACCCTCACCGTAGTTCCAGTCACCAATGACGACCCATTTGATGCCCTTCTTTTTGTAGTCGCGTGCGACGGCGGGGACCGCGTCCCAATCGCCAGTTGTAAAGTTCTTGATCTTGTTTGCCTCATCATTAGCCTCATTGATGGCGCCAATGAGCATGTTGTTGGAGATGTTGTCCAGGTGGCCACGGTATTTCAACCAAGGGCCTGCCATGGAGATGTGGTCAGTAGTGGTCTTTCCCTTCGCCTTGATCAAGATCGGAATGTCTTTGACGTCCTTTCCGTCCCAAGGCTGGAAGGGTTGGAGGACCTGCAAACGATCCGAGGTTGGCGCAACTTGCACGGTGACACCCATGCGATCTTTGGGAGGTGCCTGGTATGTGTCATTTCCAGGGTCGTAACCTCGGACAGGCAACCCGTCTCCAGTGGGGGGTTTCAGGAGAAACTCGTTGCCATCCTTGTCCTTGAGTTTATCAGTGAGAGGATTGAAGTGCAGGCTGCCGGCAATGGTGAGAGCGACTACAAGATCAGGGGACGTAACAAAAGAGTGAGTGGCAGGGTTACCGTCATTTCTGCCGGTGAAATTTCTGTTGTAGGAAGACAGAATGGAATTGGCTTCGCCTTTCTTCACGTCCTGACGGTCCCACTGACCGATACAGGGACCACAGGCATTTGCCAAAACCATGCCGCCAAACTCCTCAAAGGTCTTGAGCTGTCCATCTCGCGCAATAGTAGCGCGGATCTGTTCAGATCCTGGAGTTACAGTAAAGGCGGCCTTGGCTTTCAAGCCGTGGTCCAACGCATCTCGTGCAATAGACGCTGCGCGGGACATGTCCTCGTATGATGAGTTGGTGCAGGAGCCAATCAAGCCGACCTTGAGCTCTTCTGGCCAGCCATTCTCCTTCACAGCTTGGCTGAATTTTGAGATCGGGGTGCCCAAATCAGGAGTAAAAGGACCGTTGATGTGAGGCTCAAGTTCTGACAAATTGAGTTCGATAAGTTGATCGTATTCGGCGCCTTCATCAGCACGCAGCTCTGACGCATACCCACGCGCAAAGTCGCCGATGTCTTTGCGTTTGGTAGCGGCGAGGTAGTCGTACATTCGGTCGTTGAACGGGAAAACAGACGTAGTAGCTCCAATTTCAGCTAATTCCTCATTAGTGCACGGTCGCTTGATAACTAGGGTGATAATGGAATACAAACCTCCCATATTCGCGCACGAAGCCATGCCGGTACAGCTGATAGTGTCTACGCCAGGTCCTGAAAGAGACATTAATGTGTTAGTTGCAAGAATTCTGAGCAATCTGAAAATGAAACTTGAAGTGAAAAAGGGGGGCCCAAGGGGAGAATGAGGTATCGTGGGCGAACGTCTTTTACAAATACAGGCAGAGATAGCTGGGTGGACCCAGCAGATTTTCCTTTCTGTCTTATCTTATGCAAAACACTTACCATGATATTCAACAATGGCACCAGTGCCGCCTTTGACGGTCAGAATGTCGGCGACCTTGAGAATGATGTCTATGTTCACGCATGGTCAGCACTCAGATTTGCACAGGTAGCATGAGATAGCGCGGGGTTGCATTTGAGATAGCATATACATATGGTGCTATTCACTGACCTTTGGGAGCTGTCCAGCCAGATAACTGGCCGGTAAGCTTGACACCAATAACGTTGGGAGCCTTCAATTCCCATGGCAGGTTGGCCATGACATCGACAGCATCAGCACCTCCGACGCCAATGGCAGCCATTCCCAGACCGCCACCGTTGGGAGTGTGGGAGTCAGTTCCAATGAGCAGTCCACCAGGGAAAGCATAGTTCTCGAGGATGATCTGGTGAATAATACCAGATCCAGGGCGCCAGAAACCGATATTGTATTTGGCGCAGGCAGAAGAAAGGAAGTCGTAAACTTCCTTGTTGATACTAATAGCACGGGCAAGATCCCTCTCGCCACCGACCTGAGCCTCAATCAAATGATCGCAGTGAACAGTGGTTGGGTTCGCAACCTGGTCCATGCCAGCGGACATGAATTGCAAAATAGCCATCTGTGCGGTAGCATCCTGGCAGGCAACACGATCTGGTCGCAGCTTCAGGTAGGACTTGCCACGCTCAATGTCTTGACCATGAGGGTCGTCTAAGTGAGAGTACAAGATCTTCTCAGCATATGTGAGCGGTCGGTTCAAGCGGCTGCGGACAACAGCCAGGTTTTCGGACATTTTCTTATAGTTAATGAAGTTGTTGTCTTCCCAGATGTTTTGGCGAACCTATATACACACAGGTTGCAAGCGTTAGTCGCAAGACAAGCCATCCAGAGAAGCTATCTTTCATACCTTCTTGTCAAGCGAAGAATCGGAGACCGTCGCCATGCGACGAAGACTGGTAGAAGCGCCATTCAGGACGCGGCCCCGGGCCAAGTTGCCCAGAACCTGTCTGGAGGCAAGCATGTTGAAGGTAAGGGCCAATTGAGGCAGAGGGGAGAGGGTCTGAGCTAGGTGAAAGCGACTTGGCCGCTCTCCAAGGTCAGTCAAACTCGGAGGCCAGTACGTGGAGGAGAAGCAGAGGACGTGGAGGTGGTTTAAGAAAAAAGAGAAGTAAGGGAGAAGGTTGGCCACGAAGGTGGAGAGAGGTGTTTTTGGCCGGGAACAGAAACCAGGCTAGAGCCAGATGTTACCGAGCACAGGCGGCGTGATGTGGAGCCGCAGGGTTGAAGGTGAAGGTTGCATGGGAGAGAAGACAAAGCCACAAGCATAGAAGCGTTGGCTTGCGGATTCCACTGCGCGGCCAGGCCGGGTTGGGAACGTGGTGTTGCTACGGGGGGCACCTGGTGCTGCAGCCAGTCACAAGCGTCGAGATAATAATCCACGACGTCTGCGTTCCGTCATGCGGTGCTGAGACCTCCACTGCCCCGAGGCCCCGCGCCACCTAGCGAACGAGAGGGCATGGAAAACAGGGCCAGGGCAAAAAATTGAAAAATTGCAAACACAACTGAGCCGTTTGGCTTCTGGGCATCGCTGTTGCTGACCAGGCAGGCTGGGGTTGGGCTGGGGCAGTCGGCCAGCACATGTCAATTGCTGGAGCATCCAGCTCCGTGCATGCCTGGTATCAGCCACGATTATTGACCTCTTATGGATGGCAAGGCATAGCTTTGTGTATTGATGGCAATTACTTGCCGTGGCCGTGCAAAGCATACCACGCCCGGTAGAGCTCGAGGCAGTTGACCAACAATCCCCTGCATACATGGTACTACTGCGTAATACGTATATCATCGCCAATGGAGCTTGCATGTCCTCGCCTTGGGGATGGAAGTGCCAGGGAGCTGGTCTCCTCGTCAGATGCGCTTCCGAAGTCCCTTGTTCCGAGCACGCAACTCGGCTCCGGTCGGCTACTCTTTTAAGCCGCTAGTGGCATTGCGGCTGCTATGTGTTCTCGCAGCGGCAGGTCTGGCGCGGCATTACCCACTAAACTTGGCCCCATGGCTCAATTGCTCAATCGGCAGACCGCCGCTGTTGTCCATTCATGAGTCGTTGGCAAATCGTGACCATATGTTCCAGACCTCGGCATTGGCTGGATCCTTCGGTCACCGCACGAGGACACTCGTTTTTGCGAGCTACTCGGAGCTTTGGCCTCGGGGACCGATGTCCCGTTCTGGGAGAAAACCGATTAATATGACAACAAAATGCCAAATTTGCTGTACCCGTTGGCAACTGAGAAGCGGCAAGAGTGGCTCGTCCACTGACCAAGTCGCCAACGGGTCAAGTACTCCGTATTTATTTCATTGACTTTTCCCAGAAATCGGCGCATGTGTTTCAGCCTCTCGCGGAACACACACACACACACACACGTATTATATATACCCGTCAGCAACTAAGCGGACGAGTCACTTGATGCATGTATTACCTAAGTACTTAGATGTAAATACATACTTACTCAAGTACCTTGACGAGCATATGAATGCCTACTAGGTGTACCTACCGAGGTCGGCCTCTAATGGACTTCATATATTCCGTATGGAGTACATACGGCACCGCACACTGTTGCTCCCGACTCAATCAACATTTTGCGCTGTAGCATTCTTGGTGTGGCAAGACAAATTTGACCATCGAAAAGCATTATGGGCTAATACCGCACTATAATAAACACAGCGGGATATCTAGGCACCGTCGTCTGGTAACATACATGTTGACTTCCCATTGACCCCTTACTACGCCGAGTTGCTCGAGCTGCGACAGGAAGGACGTGTTTTCCAACAGCATACATACCCACGGGTATGCAGCTTTTCGATATCCTATACTCAAAAGATAACTTTGCTATTGCTTGATATATCCTGCTTCAGCTCATGCATTTCCTCCATTATGTTTGCCGTGTGGCCTCAGCATGAATCCAAGGCCATCGACTTATGATAGTTTACAACGTACATGCACACATGCAAATCAAAGAAAGGTTGTGCAGTTTTTACTAAAGGCATTATCAATTCGGTCCATCTCTTGCCATCCACTCTTGAGTCTTGAAACCTAGGATTCATGAGGTCAGGTTCTTATCTTGGTTCGACCGCGGACTGGCATACTAACTAGCGAGCTTCCGAAGAATACCCGAGCGCACCCACTGGTCTGCCTCTCATCACAAATTTGATCAATCCACCTCTGCCTTGAACTGCATCTCTTTCAACTAGTTCATTTCCCACTTATGTATGCTAGGTTTGGATTGCGTACTGCATATACTGGCAACTGCATTATTGATAGACACACAAGGGGGCAAATTCCACTGTACTTGACCTATCAGTTAAACGATATCTGCGCCACGTTCTAGTCTCGAATCGCATACTATATACAATGGGCGTCGGAAACAAACGCACAATCACAAAGACGAGGAGGAAAACCAGGTATGATACGCTGGCGATGTGGTCCACGGTTGGGGTTCCGGCTAACAGCAATGAAGAGATGTAGATCAAATCAAGGCAGATTTGTTATCATCAAGACATCTGGCGCAATTCAAAGATACCAAAGCGGCTGAGGACCTTCCAGGTCTCGGCAGGCACTATTGTATTGAATGCGCCAAGTGGTTTGACCGAGAGAGTACTCTGAATTCTCACAGGCGCGGCAAACCGCACAAGCGCAGGTACGTGACCTGCATACTTTGTTTCACATGCGTTACCCGATGAACTAAGTGTCCTGCCATAGAGTCAAACAGCTGCGCGAAGAGCCCAGTCCAGAACCCCAAAGAATGCCAGGGCCCGATGCAGAGTCGCAAATCGATAATCGGCATGACAACGTTGAACATGATGCCTCCGGAGACATGGAAATGGCCACATGAAGCAGCGGGCGACGACATTCGGATCGATTATCTGCCGAGAATGCCCTTCCTATGTGTATCCCTGCCGTCGTTTGTTCTTGAATATGGACGTGAATCTCCTTACAAGAGGTGCTAGGCATGGTTAGGCTCTGGCCCATATGATTGTGCATCCAACTATTTTATGCCGCGACCGCGACCGCGACCTCTTGCGAGGCCACTTGATCGAGCCCTATCTCGAGTATTTGCCCTCCCTCTCGTATTTGTACCACGTGCAAAAGGCAGACGGGATTGACGAGTTTCGACGGCTCCGGGCTTGGCATATTTTTTCGTTGTAGTGGGTGGGTTATCGACAAAAGAGGTGTCCGTAGTCCTGAATGAGGGAGCTTAGCACCGATGAACATAAAACAAGAAAATGTTGTAAGGAAAGTGGTTCGGGCATACGTACATAAAGGTGGCTTCAACATCAGTCTCCAGGCGGGTGGTGCCCTCAGCCGAGGTTTCTTCATGGCGATCTCGTGCAAATGATTCAGCAATGGGTCCCTGATTCATAAATACCAAGTTAGAAAACCATGCAGACTTTTGCAAAGTAGGTTCCATATTGCAGGATCGAAATATACCTCTGGGAAGTCGACACAAAACGCATTCATGTTGAGCCCATAGAGAAAACTAGCAAACGACTCGCTGAAGCGAGCAAGACTTTCGTGCATAAGTTGAAAATGCATCATGTTGGCCTCAAGATCAGCCATAGCGTCTGAAAGTTCTGCGAAAGCAGGCTCAAAGGCATTCAGCGGAAACTCCGCACCACCGCCACGGACATTGCGGGCAGAGTCTCGAAAAGAGGATCGTGAGGACGGTCGGAGCGGTGTTGTTGGCCTAGAATTACGCGCTCGGGAATTTGAACGTTTCCGGCTCATGGCAGTGCAGCCATTTGCCTCGTCGATGCCGTCTGACATGCCCATGCCTAACTAGAGCGACGTGTTTTGATCAATGAGGCGCTCCAACGAGGTGTAAATCTGGCGGGAACGTGTTCCAGAAAGTTTCATTCATCGGCGATACGCGAACCGCGAATCGCGCCTGTACAGGAGACTCCAGGCCCAAAGCAGAACATGGCACGTGCGATGAGTGGCACGTCCCCGGCCAGCCAGTCTTGCGATGTCCAATACCCCCAGACACTCTTCAGCGGGGCCGTGATATCCGCAGGCATCGCAATGCGACCAGACCACTGGCAGGGCGGACGCAGAGGACCGGAATAAGTCAAGTGCAAAATACGGAACAATTCTAATAATCTTCTATTCTTTCGCGCATTCCTATTCTTTGCCACTCCCGAGAGAGCGCTGTGCCTGGTCAATAAAGAAAGTCCACGCTTGGTCTATGATCTGGACATGACTACCAACCTTGGAAGTTGAAGTGCTCAGGGGAAAAGGGCAAAAATGGCGTGTGGCAGGCACAAAGTCTAAATTCGAGATTCCAAAGTGTCATCGAAGTCATTTACTTGTCTACTCTACCTACTTCAGTACGCCAATGCCAGATACTCTTGCCTCTCTATCTCCTGCTGTCAGCTCCAGTCTCCAGTTATTTCCCCACAGGGAGGATCGTCACGGAGGGCTTGCTGGACAATTAGTCCGACCAGATACGGGTCGCCGTGTATCCAACAAACTGGCCGAAAATACTGGACATCCCGCCGAACAAGTCCGCTGACGCCCGTCTCCCGCCTTCCAGCATAACCTGTTTTGTTTTGGAATTTGTCTGCCAGTGCCATTGCGAAGGTCCTTATATACTAACGATCATCTGGTTCTCTATTGCCGCATTCCTGACTAGCACTCCACCACCCCAAATACCTAGGCACAGAAAATAACCGCCTTAGCTTGTTGTGGAAAGAGAAGATCTATGAGGGTGCGTACGCCCGCGCGTCCCGGCACAATTGGCACTCAACCAACGGAAATATTTCCCTTATTATATACATTGCATAGGAGTATCATATACCGGAGCGGACAGAATCTACAGCTTCTTTCGCTTATCAAACCACGATCCTCTACACCGTCGGCTACCCAACGCCGTCCTCTATCAAACGCTTCTCCTCAGTATATTAATACTCGGCGCCGAACAAGCCAGGGGTTGCCTCTCGTCACCCTTGCCACGCTGAGAAGCAATCGTCTCGCCGGCGTACTCTTGCGCAGCGCCGCTCGTTCAGCTCGTGGACCCTTTCCCACCGCCATCGCTCTTCAAAGCAGCCTCTATCACCCAACTGTTATATCAGCAGCCGCGGCAGCCCTTGCTTTTGCGATAGCATATTTGCTAGTCACTGGAGAATCTACCGGCTTAGATATACAACCCAGCGCTGGTCATCTCCCTCTCGACGATATGCCTCACGAGATTGCTCCTGGACACCTGGGGAATTTGACAGCAGAACAGGAAGACAAGCTCCGTCAACTCTGGGAAGCCGTGTTCAAGGTATGCGGTGTTTCAGACAGCAGCGATGCCAGCCCGGCGCCGAAGAAAGATGAAAAACCAGGCGCAGATGCCGAAACCACCAAGAAAAAGCGCGGCTTCAGTTTCTTTAGAAGTGCTCCCCAGTCGGCTCACGCGTCCTCCAATGGTAACAATGCTACTGATTCAGCAGATGACGACAAATATGGTTTGACCAAACAGTATCAGGAAATCTTGGCAAACCAGAAGCCGGAGGAGATAAGAGAAACAATGTGGGCAATGATGAAGCATGATCATCCCGACGCGTTGCTCCTACGCTTTCTGCGCGCCCGCAAGTGGGATGTGGAAAAGGCCCTCATCATGCTGATATCGGCCATGAACTGGAGGCACACCAAGATGAAGGTCGACCAGGATATTATGAAAAATGGGGAAGCCGGCGCCGCCGCTGATGAGAAAAATGGAGATGAGAAGGCAAAGAAGCTGGGCCAGGACTTTCTAAAACAAAGCCGGATGGGCAAAAGCTTCCTACATGGCACCGATAAAGAGGGTCGTCCGATTTGTGTCGTCAGAGTGTGCCTCCACAAAGCCGGAGATCAATCTCCCGAGAGCTTGGAAAGGTACACGGTATTTATTATTGAGACTGCTCGTCTGGCACTGAAACCTCCTGTCGATACAGCGGCAAGTTGCAACCTTATTCTAGCTCATTACTCAACCGACTAATAACAAAACCAGAACATCATATTCGATATGACGGGATTCACTCTGGCCAACATGGACTACCACCCCGTCAAGTTCATGATTCAGTGTTTTGAAGCAAACTATCCCGAATCTTTAGGGGTCGTTCTCGTCCACAATGCCCCGTGGTTGTTCCAAGGTCTGTTAATTTTCCCAATATTTATTGGTTGAGCGGAGGCTTATATTGGACAGGCATCTGGAGGGTTATCCGTGGCTGGCTCGATCCCGTTGTCGCTGCTAAGGTTCACTTTACCAACTACAGAACTGGGCTGGAGGAATTCATTCGTCCAGGTCAGCTTATTAAGGACCTAGAGGGCGATGAGGATTGGACGTATGCATATGAGGAGCCCATTGAGGGTGAAAATGATTTGATGAAAGATACTACAACCAGAGATCGACTGCTTAAGGAGAGGGAGAAGTTGTATGCTCAGTACGAGGCTGCTACTCGACGTTGGACGAAACACGCTAGCGGCGAAGAAGCTGAAGGCATCAAAGCTGAGCGAGATGATATTGCTGCAAAGCTCAGGGACGGTTACTGGCAGCTCGACCCGTATGTAAGAGCCCGGTCTCTGTATGATCGTCAGGGAGTGATCCGTTCTGATGGCGACGTAAACTGGTACCGAAACACTGACTCCAAGTCTACTCCCTCCAACGAGATCAAATCTGGCACAGAGACTGCAGCGAACGCGGTCGATTAATGGGAATGATCTTGATGGTTTTGTTTCGGCACCCGCTGGAAGCAAGCTGGACCTAATAAAGGGCACAGTCCGTTGTATTGTTGGAGTGGCAACATGGCAAGCTCCCCCTCCCGTTCTCTGAAAGACATCACTTTAGGTTATAGTTTATAGAGTAGATGATAATAAAATTCGGAACGACATTTATAAATGAAACTATTGCACAGGCGCACGGCGGAACCTCTTTTCACTAGCGCTGCTGTACTCAAACGACGCGCCCTCGATTGGCCAATAATCTACATTTTGGACTTGATATCCTCGCAGAGGGCCTTGAGCTTGTCCATATCACCTGGTGTGGAAGGCCAACTAATTCCGAGGCCTTCTGCGTCGTTGGGCTTTGGAATCTAGTGAAGAGGTTAGGGCAGGTACATCGGAACGGCATGGCGGCTGAAGATACTAACCATGTGAAAATGAACCTATAGAGAATTAAGAAACAAGGGTATTTGGTTAGCTTCCCACAATCCGGACACGGTAGAGGACTAGGATGGTCAGACTCACATGATGAACCTGTTGGTGAGCTATGGTACCGTTGTTTTGGAGTATGTTATAGTCAACGGCGCCAGTTGCGGAAACCAGCTTTTTCAGGGTGGGCTGGGACAAGCGTGTCAGTTGACGACGTGGCATCGCACTACATGCAAGGTTTCGCCGGCCTACCAGAATTTCTGTGAGCTGGTCATCGGGAATGTCGGCCAGCTTTGCACCATGATACTTGGGTATGACCAGCTAGCGGATACAAGCAGAAGAACCTGTTAGCTCCAGGAGGGAAATGGCGGCGCTGGCATATTGCCAGAGCCATTGCTGCTTGGGGAAAGTCCTTATACGTACAGCATGACCTTTGCTGAGTGGCCCGACGTCGAGGAAAGCCAGCGTCTTTTCGCTCTCAAAGAGCTTCATGCAAGGAATCTCGCCTAGAAATGACCCGAGTGCGTGACCATGTCAGCAAATTGAGCTCGCGATGAAACACCCCACGGCAGTCAACTTGGCACATGCTTGTCCGTGACCATCCACCGCCATTCCTTACCCTTGATGATGCGGCAAAAGATGCAGGACATTGTAAGCTGGATTTTGTCAAAGATCGTCTTTGTATGTGAGATGTTGGAGGTGGGGATGCTGTGCCGGGTGTGAAGTGGGGAGATCTTATTTTTTGAAGAAATGCGGCACAACACGGCGTACAGTGCGGAAAGCTACTTACTTATGATCAATATGTATGTATGTAAGTGCAGAATGATACTTCACGTTGAAAATGCTGTCTTCCCGCCCAGCCACGGAACAACGTACCTTCCTGGCTAGGTAGTTAACTGAATGAGGTAACAATACGTTGTCGGTTGAATCAAACGTCAGACGACCCCATCCTTACTCGGCAGCCGGCTACCGAGGTACGATGAAGGCGATTCAACTACTCCATATGTAAGATGCACCATGGACAACAATGTTGAACCGGTAGCAATTCTTTATTGTTCACAGAAGAAAGCGACATGGTACAGCACTTATCAACAAGCCGCAAACACTGCTGCATATTTACCATGTCACTGACCTTCTATAGCCTAACGAAATGGAGGTCCTCAGTCGTGAACGCTACGCCGTACATATTTAATATCTGGACTTCACCTGGTCCAGGTCGTTTGTTGTGTGTCAAATTTGAAGCTCAAACCACATGTTGAAAATGTGACCTCTCCATCTATTGAAGCATAAACTTGCAAAACCCATGATTGTGAGGGACAACCAAACTCCACCGTCTCTACAGTTCATCCTTTGAGCGACCGTCCTCCACTTTTCTATCTTCTGATGTTGTTCTATCCGTTTCCGCTGCGTCCGGCTGGAGGCGTTGTTTACGCTTCAAGTCAAGAGCAGCAATCTCTTGGTCATATGTGGTCCATTCCGGGACCTGTCTTCTCGCCCTGTCAAGTTTCGGTTCCTTGGTTTGAGGGTTATTGCATAGATCAATGGTCCGAGCCTTTGCGAGGCTTTCATCACTGCACCACGTCTCGCACCAAAGCCACTCTTGCGGTAAGCTATGGATTGGGATTTGAAATTGCATATGGTTAGGCAAGTCTTGGTCTAAGTTTGACAGACTAGCCGGATCCGCCGAGAGAGCATGGTATTGTTGTCTGAGTCGGTCACCGGCGGCCAGCTCGCGGAAACGACGTAAATCCACGACATAAAGAGCCGAAATATGATATGGCCTTCCACGAAGATAGTTCGACCAGTAGCCTTGCTTCCAGAATCGGAACCCCTCCATCTCCGTTCGAGAATCACACATCGGTGTAAAGCCATACGGCGCACCATTTAGATCCAAGTCAACAAGGTCCATCATGTCGGTGCGAACAACTTGATCAGCGTCCACAAATATGACCTTGTCCAGCGATAACGGAAAGAGGACGTCCAAAAAAAGGATTTTATATCCCCAAATCTCCCTTTGTTTCTCCTTTTGCTGCCGAAGCCAGTGTGGCCACTTGTATGTGATCATCTCATATTTGAAACCGTATTCCTTTGCCAGGTGTGGTATGAATTCTTTGAACGATGGTGAGAGAAATTGTTCTATGAACCAAAATTTGACGCTGTGTTTCGTATTGCGCATGACAGAAACCATCATGATATTGAGCATCCGCTCATACAGATGCCCACTCGCAACGGAAAATATGTTTATCTCAGCATGCTGTACATCCGAAGTGGATTTTCCTTTGCCACCACTAAGCAGCCCTTCTGCAAATTTTAGGCCTTTAGAAACTATGTTGCCCTGAGATGGATTGCTGGTGTCCTCTAAAACGTCTTGATTTTCCATGCCGGGACGGCGTTTGAGTCGCGGGTATAATGTAGTGCCTTGAAAGTCCATCAGCGCAAGTTCGTTGCCCTCGTCATCAGGTGCTGCTTCCCATCCCTGAGCACCAATGCTTTCGATGGTAAAGATCTCGGCACTTCGACCCTCTTTTAGCTGGATATTATATACGCCAGGATTGGCCTTGAATTGGAAAAAGCCCAGGTTTGCCATGACAATGGTATCTGTCAGAAGCGGCTGGCTTTCCGTTGCCAGGACTAGTTGAGCACCTCGCGGGGCTGATCCCTCATCATCGCGAGAATGCCCTTCAATCAGAATGTGTTGAAGTTCGTAGGTCGCTTCAATATCCGAATTTGCAGCGCTTAGTTGGATGTTATCGAGGTCGTGTATGGACAGCTTTGGTGCGACTAACCAGGCTGGCGGAACGTCCATGCCCACAGTCATCAACGCGTTCAATGGAAGTCCTGAAAAACTTGCTGCCAGGGCTTTGACACTGCCGTTCTCGTCGAATTTCGGTGTTGGTTCGACGACATAACGGTAAAATCGTTTCACAGGAAGTTCTTCAACCTGTACTTTGGGATTTAGGAAGAGTTTGACGTAAACACCATCTAGCTCCGCAAGCAATCTCAGAACATGGGCCCATTTCTGGCTTTTTTCGCTGACAGGATCCAATAATCCCACAATATGTATGTTGGATTTCTTCGGGTCGCCCGATTCTATTACTGTGTGGCTTGAATTCCAAGAAGTATATATGGAAGAACGGATTGCTGAAGAAGATTCAAAGATTCCTTCAGGCAAATCAGAAAGTGTTGACAGCGCAATAATGGAGCTGAGTTTGGCAGCCGTCATACAATCTGAAACCTTTTCGTTCAAGCCCAGGTCTGCAACCGCAGCATAAACGGGGAGAATGCGACGCGTCTGCTCATATGACAGTACCTGCTGGAAATCCTCGGCATCGAAAGACGCTTCTGGTTCTATCGGCCCTACCACTCGTCCGTTCATAATCACGACTTGTGAGCTGGTCGGCATCTTAGTGTCAGCGAGGAATCTTGCTACAGATACCGCAAAGTCATCGCTGGCATCATAACTCGAAGCCTCACTAAGGAGTTGTTCCAGGTCTTGTATGGTTTCGATGTCCTTCAACTTAGCTTCATTCGCCTTCAAAGCCTTATTGACCTGAGAAGAGATCTTGGCGTTGTCTTGCGTGTCGACGAAATCCAGACGAATCGCTGGGTTATTGCGTCTAAACTCCAGGGCTGACAAAATTAAATCAAGACCGGCTCTCGAAGACATATCCGCAAGTACGGTAACAACTGCCCAGTTCTCTTGTGTTGATTCGGCATAAAAATCGAAAACCGGAACTGCGTTAAATAAGTCCGCATTCTCGCGGTAAACTTTGGCAATATTTAACACTCGCAAGGTTTTCTCATTGGTTTCCGAAATATAAAGGTTGCGTCGTGAGGCAGCCCCCTCGAGAAACACTCCAACAGTCCAGGTATCATCATCAAAGACACCGTGGTATATTCCCCTTTGTACAGTTTGGAGGTCTTGCGAGACTGTCATACTAAGGGATTGCATCCAGCTTTGGTCACGAGGCACTAAAACCCCATTAACAAACAATGGACGAACGACTGTGTCGGCCTTCAATCTTTTGACCCATTTTTCAGCTTTTACGAGCCTCTCAGTAAAGTCGCTTGCTTGCAATATCATAGACAACGACATGTCCTCGCCTCCAGGTAAAAGTGTATGGTTCTCGGTAATCGTTGAGAGTAGAGTCTTGGAATCAGCAATTTTCTGGTGGGCCTTAGCCAACTGTGAAAGGTATGATATCGTAGATTCGATACCATAGTTTTCTGTAAGAAAATATGCGATCTTTGCCCGAGTCTTGGCTTCATCAGACAGCTGCAGCGGCACCAGACCGAATCGAATCGGAATACCTCGTTCCCTGATAGATTCTACCTCGGAGATGAATGCTAGATCCTCGGTGTTGGACAAGTCGGCGGGAATGACCAAGTTAAATATGTTTCGACCAATCGGTGGGATTTGGCCAGGGAAGGTGCCCTGAAGCAGCTGTACTTCATAGTTAGTATCAAAGGAGCCCAGAAAATGGAGCTACGGAGTGTCTTACTGAGGACAAAGATTTCGGGTATGAAGCATATCTGTCATCCTTTTCCAAGTCATTGAGCCATAAAATTACACGTCCCGCCTCCAACCTATCCGTCCAATCATAACGAAAAGGTTTGTCGTCTTCCTTAGCAGCCGACACTGCTTTGTGACTCAGAAGCGCAACCGCCTGTTCTCCGTCGAACCCCAAGTCTCGAATCCCATCAACAAGCCTCCTTTCGCTTCGTAACATGTTTACAAGCGCAAAGGGCTGGATTTCTCGGTCAGTGAGCTGTGCTCCGTTCATCCATAGAAAATTGATACCACCTCGCATCTTCTTTGCTTGATTCTGCTTGATTTCAGCAGCAAACGCAATTGAAACATTCCGAGAGGCTATCGACGATGCGAATTTTGGGAAGTCTTGTGTGAGTTTTACCAGGGTGTCGAACGGGTGATCGCTGTCCTTGATAAACGACGCAGCTTTCATTCCAATGGAAGAAAGCTCAGAAGTGGAAAGGGGGTTCAAGTCGGCCACGTCGTCTGTTCCATCAAGAACTTCGACCGGGTCCTTGGGGCTTTCCTCCGTGCTTTGGCTGGAATGTCTGTCATCCATCACTATGTAATCTGTCTTCTTTAATGCGAGTTCCACTCCATAGCCGCTGACTGGTAAAGGCCGGCTAATATGAGACTTGCTGCGGCGATATCGAAGCCGATAACGTAACTTCATGGTACGTGCTGCCTTTAACAGTGACTGGTGATAATCTGCAAATCTATCTGAGGTAGGATCGGCATACAGGATAGCATCCCTTCCGATACCCATGGTTCGATCGAAAGCCAGCGGTTTGACGACCCTGCAAAAGCAATTAGCAAACTAATCTACATAATGTAGAAAGACTACATACGCGGAAACCGGCTCGTTCTTCGCTTCGGCATCGAAATCAGGTGTACAGTATTGCCTGCCGTCGAGTAAAACCCAAATATCGCAATCCCGCAATTCCTTAAGGGGTTCCATAGCTGTAGAATAATGTTGGTAGTGTGCTTCGATCCTGGGGGCCGCGGATCGTAGAGACAGCGCCAAGTTGAATGTAGATAGAGCATCGGGTCTGGTTATATGTCCATCTTCGTGAATGATGTTGAGAAATCGACTATACAGTTCAGATTCCGATGAAGCTG